TAAAATGACAATTATATCTTCATTTTTAATTATATTTAGTTTTTTTTATAAATATATAAAAATAAGTACAAGAAATCAAAAATTAAATTTCTTTCATGATTCTTTTTTCAAATTTTTTATTTCAAAAACTTCTTCCCGACTTTGTTTTTATAAATTTTCAAAAAGAAAACAAATGAAGCAAATATTTTTCACTAAATGTTTAGGAATACACCTTCATGAATACATATAACTAGGTGATTTTCCCGTGCTCATGCACGGGTATAAATATTTTTAAAGTAAATAATAATAATTGATTACTATTTATTTTAAATTTTAAAATAATTTATAATTTGTATGCATCATTTATATTGATAATATTATATTACTTTTCGTTATACTATAATTTTATATATGTTATATCTAGTCGATTTTGTTGTTTTAACGGTTGTTTTTATCATTTGGATAAATTGGATTGTATCATTGAATTCAACTGTAATATTTTTAAAATATATTAATTTATAATTAATTACTTATTTGCATATAGTGAGTTTTATCTTAGATATGTAAATATATTTTTAGGAAAATTATGTATAACTTAATATATATCATGCTTAGAATAAATTAAAAATTAATTAAAGTGTCTGATTCCAAAATACGTAAATTAATATAACGATAATATTCTAAAGTCTCATGCATATATATAAATTCTACAAAAGAACTAAAATTGTAAGAGTTTGGAAGCTCATGAACACATATCAATATTTAAAACAATTATTTTTTTTATAAATTCTAATTAATTTTATGCTTTAAATTTATTGAATGTAAACAGAAATATATTTTAAATAATCTTAAAATTGGGAATTCAGATTTCCTTTGGTATTTTGATTATGGTTATATTTAGTTTCACAAACATAAAAACATAAAATTTAAAATAAAATTTAATCTTAAGAAAACAAATAATTTTAATAATGATGAAATATCATATATCTAACTCATTAAACTAATTGTTAATTATTTGATCAAGCGATGTTTATTGTTAAATTTATTTTTTGTTTTTAATATCTCTTAAAAATAGCACTATACACAATTTTGATTGTATTTGAAAATAATAGTATATAAGTAAAACATAATTTATAGATAATTTTCTGTAATTGAAAGTTATTATAGTGAACTAAATATATGAAAAATAAATAAAAAATTCAATAATACTAATTGTAAACTATTTTTATTACTTTAAAAGTATATTTTATGTTATTTAAAAAAAAATTAATGTATTATTACTATTTTGTGAACTTTCATTTTTTTATGAAATCATATTATATATACATCATATATTTTTTGTTTTCAATTTGTTTTTGACTTTATAAAAAAATTTACTTTTTATTACATATACTTTTGGAAATTTTTGAAAAGTAAACTAAATAAGAGAATTAATAATACTATTTTTAACTATTTAATTCATTAAGGGTATCAGTGTAATCAACTATCGTGAGAGTGAACATGAGAGCGACACATAGGAAACTAACTTCTCAAATAATATTATAGAGATGTGATTTTTCCGTACTCATGCACGGACATAAATATTTATAAAATAAATATGTTATAATAATTGATTGATATTTAATTTAAATTTTAAGTTAGTTTATAATTTGTAGGTATAATTTATATTAATAATATTGTATTAATTTAATTATATATATAATTCTAGATATGTTATATTTCCTTAGTTTTATTGTTTTTACGGTTGATTTGGTTATCATTTGGATATATCAGATTTTATCTATTTATATGAATTCAACTATGATATTTTTTATTCTAAATATATTAAATTTTTGATTAATTGTCTTATTTGCATTGATGCCAGTTGTTATCTTAGAAATATAAGTATATCAAGTAAGATTATGTATATCTTAAGAATTTTTGTGCTTAGAAAGAGAAAAATAAAAACTAAAATGTCTGATTCTAAATTACATACATAAGTAACTAATGAATTTTTGAAAGCTTGTTAACACATATCAATATTTACAATATTTAGATTGATTGGATGGTAAACTGAAATTTATTTTAAATAATTTTTTAAAAATGAGGATTCTGATTTGCTTAAGTATTTTGATTATGGTCATATTAAGTTCCACAAACATAAAACAGAAAATTAAAAATCAAAAGAGTTATTCAGAAATCAGATAATTTTAACTATTAAAATATAATATATCTACTTCGTTAAATTATATAATGTTATGATATTTAAAATAATTGTAGTTATTTGATCAAAAAATATTTATTATTAAATATTTTTTTTTAGTTTTGTTTTTAATATCTCTTAAAATATGCAGTAAATATGTTATTGTTTTGGAGAAATTATATTATATAAGTAAAATATAATTTATATTTTTTGTTGTAATTGTAAGATATTATAGTCAAATAGATATACTAAAAATAAATAAAAATATATTTCAAGAATACTAATTATAAAACAAATTTGTCAATTAAACATATATTAGTTTACGTTACTTAATTATTTTATGAAATCATCTAATAAAATAAATAGATATATAAAAAAATAATTACTTTTAAAATATATATTTATTGTTTAATTTTTTTTAAAAGAAAAAAATATTTATTTTTCTAATATCAAGATTAGTTGTGTGAACTTTTTTAATGGAATCACATTATATACAAATATTGTTTTTCATCTAAGAAGATATAGATATAAAGTATTGTTTTACTTCTTCTTTTTTTTTGTATTGTTTTACTTCAAAGGTATGTTTTATGTTATTTAGATTATATTTAAATTAAATATTACTATTTTGTGAACTTTCTTTTTTTATGAAACCATATTTATATATACTTATAATTTCGTTGTAAATAGTTTTGTAAACTGTATAAATGTTTCCTTTGTATTTATATTTTTATTGGAAATTTTTTAAAAAGAAATAATAATACTTAAATGTATTTTTTAATTCATTAGGGATATCATAGTAATCAACCAGTGTGAGAGTTAACGTGAGCGCGACACATAAGAAAGTGACTTCTCAAATAATATTATAGAGATATCTTCCTGAACTTCAGTTTAAGAAGATCTTCCTGAACGCGTATAATAATCTGTCTAAATTTTTTAAGTTTTTCCAGATTTAGAAATGTTTTCATAAATGTGTAAGTACATTTCTAGTATTATACATATCTATCAATATCTTTATTCCTAAAAGTTTTTCTAAATTTAAAATTCAGGAAAATATTATACATATTAGTAAGATATTTATAAATTCAAGGTTAGGAAGATATCATACATATTTAAGAAGATTTTCTTAAACTCAAGTTCATGAAAATATCATACATAATTAGGAAGTCTTTCAAAAAAATTCAAAAACAATTTTATAATGGTTTTGAAAAAAAAGAAGAGTTTTTGAAGGTCTTCCTAAATTCATATTCAGAAAGATATGAAGAGTTTTTGAAAAACAAAATTGTAAATAGAATTAAAAAAACGTTTTTTAAACTAAGAAACATTTACTAAAATTAAAAAAAAATTATATTTAAAAAAACGAAAAAATAATTTCGTAACTAATAGAAAAATTCAAAAAAATATTTAAAACATAATTTATTTAAAAAAATCAGAAAATTGGATTTTTATTTCCGACTTTTCAAACAATAAATATTAAATATTTATTTTATTTTTATTTGACCTATAAAATGAGAGTATAACTGTCATTTACCACTTTAATGAAACCTATTTTGGTGAATTTCCCCCTTGTATGCTATTTTGTGATACAAACTTTTTAAAGGATATCCTAAAGCATTTCTGTATTTTCTAATCTAAAATTAATTTTTTTATTGATTTGATTTAATAGAAGTGTCCTCTGATAATACTAAAAGGTCTCTTTCATCAAAATATCCCTAAAAAAATCAAAATAACTAAAACAGATTTCATTAAAAAAAAAAAGAAAAAAACATATATGTTCATAGAGTTAATTAATTTATACTTCGAGTTATATTTGATGGGTGAGATTTTGGGAGGGGGGGGGGGTTAGAATCCTAAATTTAATGTTTAGATTTAAATTTTGGCTAGATCTTCAAAAAGCATTGGCCACCTAACAACGCTATAAATGGATTTGATCATCCATGCCTACCCGGATGCAAGACTTCGTGAGATTGGTCTTTGGACTTTAAAAAATCTTTGGGATCTCACGGATATAAAAAAGTTCAAATTTAAAAAAAGACCCGAATATTTTTTGTATGTTGTGATATGTGCTTGTCGATCTCATTCTTTTTTTTGTTGTGCACCAAACTCTTATATTGAATTAGAGGAAACTGTTACAACCAGAGGTGAACTCGACAGCTAAATGAAAGGTAAAAGTACTACAACAAGAGATACAAATATTAAAGGAGTGAAGATACCTGTAAACATACTTCACTTGAGACCCTGACACTGATGTTCCAAAGAACATACTAAGGTTGGCATAAGAATCGATGAAAGGGGACCGACCCTACAGAGCGGGTTTGAAGAACGTTGGTGAACACCAACACTGATGATAAGCCCATTGAAAGGCTAGATTTGGCTATGCAACCCATTAAACAAATAAGATCAACTCTAATACTGACGATCCCATTCAGATGTTGTTTGTTTGGACCTTCTGCACCAGCATTTAATGTTGGATTGACATACAATTTATAAAATCTAAAATATTTGACATGTAACTGTGGTTGTGATCTGTGATTGAGTACACCATACTTGCGGAATACCATATGCTATGTGTTTCCTTTTCGAGAACACCGTATGCTATGTTGGCAGCGTGAGAACTAATAACGTGTAGTTATAAAGTTGTAGTTGACGAATGATACAAGTTTGTGGAAGTGAATTATTCGATGGGATGAAAAAGTCATGGACAACATTTTGCTTGCCTGCTAGGTTCGTCATAATAATCTTTGCGACGTAACTTAGGATATATATATATATATATATGCAAGTTAAGACAAAAACTAAATACAAGAAAAAAAGAAAGAAAGAAAGAAAGTGGTGGGGAGAGATGATAGGGGAACAGAGCATTTACCACCATTCTTACACCTTCTCGTTCTTTCTAGTTTTCCTTGTCTTGATTCTATTTCGTCCTGCCTTTTCGACCTATATCAATACTCTGTCATTTAAAGAATCTCTTACAATCTCAAGCAACAGAACACTTGTATCTCCCGGTAATGTCTTCGAGCTTGGTTTCTTCAAAACCAATTCTCGTTGGTATCTCGGGATATGGTACAAGAAAGTGTCCAACAGAACCTATGTTTGGGTCGCCAACAGAGATAACCCTCTCTCCAAATCCATTGGAACCCTCAAAATCTCCAACATAAACCTTGTCCTTCTCGATCACTGTAATAAATCAGTTTGGTCGACGAATCTAACTAGAGGAAATGAGAGATCATCTACGGTGATGGCAGAGCTTCTCACCAACGGAAACTTCGTGATGCGAGACTCCAATAACAAAGACGCAAGTGGATACTTGTGGCAAAGTTTTGATTATCCTACAGATACTTTGCTTCCGGGGATGAAACTAGGTTACGACCTCAAAACAGAGCGCAACAGGTTCCTTACATCATGGAGAAGTTCAGACGATCCGTCAAGCGGGAATACCACGTACAAAATCGACACTCGAAGGGGAATGCCTGAGTTTATTCTTAATCAAGGACCTTATGAAATGCAAAGGAGCGGTCCTTGGAATGGAATGGAGTTTAGTGGCATACCGGAGGTGCAAGGGTTAAATTACATGGTTTACAATTATACGGAGAGCAGAGAGGAGATCACTTACTCATTCCATATGACCAACCAAAGCATCCACTCGAGATTGATGGTCAGTGACTATACACTCAATCGATTCACGTGGATCCCGCCATCATCCGCATGGAGCATGTTCTGGAGGATACCAACGGACGGTTGCGATTTTCTTCACTTCTGTGGGTCTTATTCTTACTGTGACCTAAACACGTCACCTAACTGTAACTGTATTAGAGGGTTCGTTCCCAAGAACCGGCAGCGGTGGGACTTGAGAGACGGATCAGAGGGGTGTGTTAGGACGACGCGGCTGAGCTGCAGTGGAGATGGGTTTTTGCGGCTAAAGAATATGAATTTGCCGGATACTAAGACAGCGACTGTGGATCGGACAATTGATGTGAAAAGATGTGAAGAGAGGTGTCTTAGCGATTGTAACTGTACATCTTTTGCGACTGCGGATGTTCGAAATGGAGGATTGGGTTGTGTGATTTGGACAGGAGAGCTCGTTGAGATGCGGAAATACGCCGTCGGTGGTCAAGATCTTTACGTCAGATTGAATACTGCTGATCAAGGTTAGTTTATTCATAAAACTGAACACAACGGATACCTTATGTCATCAAATAACTTTTACTTTTGTCCGGATGAGGAAGTTTCTCTATTTTTGTCCGATCCAAATATTTTACATGTTTTAAGAAATCTTTCCTACTTACTACGAATTTGTTTAGTTAAAAAGTTTTCAAGTGCGAAATACATAACCGATTAACGAGAGGCTGGATAAAATTTCCAATCCCAGTTTTTTTTTTGAAACTCTCAAGTTGTTTTTGTTTTACTCTATAAATTTAGAAATAAATTAGTTGTATATAAAATGTTTTAAATATATTATAAATTTTGTGTCACATATATAATTTGTTTTTCGATGCAAAAGGAAATAGTACTTCCACATACATTAGCATTGAACAAACTGCTTAAATAAGCGTTTAGTATTAATCCTTTTAAATATTTATTTCAAAACTCAGATAATAAATGTGAGTCATTCATCCAAATAAGTAAATAACAAAAAGAAAAAAAAAACAGTTAATAGAATAAAATAGTATATTTGACAGTTTAACTCGATTGATTGCTAATAATCCCATTGATAGTGTATGCCTGTAAACGGTAAACCCATTGATAGTGTATGCCTGTAAACGGTAAACCTTAATCACTAATCTTTAAATACTTGCAAATGTAAAGACAGTAGCATTTGTTTTGCATCTTATAATTGCCAATCAATAAAGATACAAGACTATAAGACTACAATGTTATTTATTTATTATAAAATATAAGTAGCTGGTTAAGTTTAATAATAAATTGAAATTTAACAGTAAAGCCGGATATTAAATGGATATCTATATTTTTTTTAACATTAGCATTAACAAAACTGCTTAAATAAAAGTTTAGTATTATTCCTTTTAAATATTTATTTCAAATTTCAGATGATAAAAATGTGACACATTCATCCAAATAAGTAAATAAACAAAAAGAAAAAAACAGTTAATAGCATAAAATAGTATAATTGACAGTTACATAGGAACATATTGATTGCTAACAATCCCATTGATAGTGTATGCCTCTAAATGCTAAAACTTAATCACTAATCTTTAAATTCTTGCAAATGTAAAGACAGTAGATGACCCTTAATTTCAATTGTTATCCATATTATAATTGCCAATCAATAAAGATACAAGACTTTAAGACTAAAATGTTATTTATTTATTAGAAAATATAAGTAGCTGGTTAAGTTGAATAATGAATTGCAATTTAACAGTACAGCCGGATATTAAAATGGATATCTATATTGTTGTGACATTACATGTGTTCTCGTATGTATTTGCAGGCGCATGTTAACTCTAATAAAGAAGAAGCACTAAAAAACGGTAGCTGGATAATAAAAGTGTGGATCTCCACACAGATGTTGTAGCAGAATAGCCGAATAAATACATTGCAGTGGTTATATTATAAGATTATGTGACTATTCCGTGATCCTCACATAAATCAAATTATAATTAATGAATGTGTTTTTCCCACTTGTTGATCAATTTAAAATCATTTTATAATTTATATGTATGAAAAATAAATATAAAATTATGTTGTTATCTCAGTTTCATATGTGATTTCATATATAAAAATTTGGATCGGTTCAATTTTTTTGGTATATCAGATTATATATAATTTTAACTAAATCATAATTTATTTTAAATTTAAATATATTAAAGTCATATTATTTTATTTATATTTAGTTCTATTCATCATATTAGTTTTTAAATGGATCTTAAAACAATCTAATTATACTAAAATGTGAATAATTTGTTATCTTCATTTAGTTTGGTTATCTTAAATTTGTAAGTATTTTATATAACTAGTTGCATACTCCCCGCGCAAGCGCGGGGCCGGAATCGTTATGTGAAAATATTGTATATCTGATGTGTTAAATGTTATTTATATGCGAAGTAAGGTTTATAGGAACAGTTAGGTTATAATATAGTTTTTAGTGTGTAAAAGTAGGTGTCTATTTTTTTTTTTTTGCTGTAAATATTTTTTATATCGTATGTCAAAACTTGATATAATTCTATATTTATAGTATTTATATTTGTATTAAACGATTTATCAATTTAAAAATAACCTTAATTAAGTTAATACTCGTTGTTTAAGTTTCATTAGATAGGTTTTTATAAATGGTTTTTTGTAAGTTTGGGTTTTGTTCATAAATGATGGGGCATTTTTATCTACGACGTCATCGAGGAATCCATTCGCCGAAGTCTAGAGCCGGTGGTGAGGAATGTTTTCAATGAAATTATAGTAGTTATTAAAATGTAAGAGAAATTACATATTCATTTAATAAATAACGGAAAATACTTAAATTTTGTTGTTTATTTTATTTTATTTCACATACAAATTTTTTGAAAATATATTAGGAATGAGTTCAATGTTATTTATATGCGAAGTAAGTTTATATGAATAGTTTGGCTATAATATAGTTTTTAGTGTGTAAAAGTAGGTGTTTTGTTTTTGCTGTAAATAGTTTTATATCGTAGGTCAAAACTTAATATAATTCTATATTTATAGTATTTATATTTGTATTAAACGATTTATCAATTTGAAAATAACCTTAATTAAGTTAACATTCGTTGTTTAAGTTTCATTAGATAGGTTTTTATATATGTTTTTTTTTTAAGTTTGAGTTTTGTTCATAAATGATGTGGCATTTTTATTTACGGCGTCATCGACTGTGGGAATCCATTCGCCGGAGTCTGAAATCGGTGGTGAGGAATGTTTTCAATGAAATTATAGTAGTTATTAAAATGTAAGAGAAATTACATATTCATTAAATATAACGAAAATAATTAATTTTTGTTGTTTGTTTATTTTATCTCACATACAAATGTTTTGAAAATATATATTAGGAAATATGTGCAATGATTTCACTTTTTTGAGCTCTTAATCTATATTATTCAAGCCTCATTAAGCCATCCACGTAGGTAGCCGCGTGGGATTCACTTTTTTTTTGGTCGGTTCGTTTTTGGATTCATTTTTTATTATTTTTGGGTTGAACTATATCATAATAAGATAGTTTTAAGGCTTTTTAAACCATCCACGTAGGCAACCGCGTGAGACTTGCTTTTTTTATTGTTCGTTTTTGCATCCATTTTTAACTATTTTTAGTTTGAACTCGTTAAGATTTAGGGTTTATCCAACTATTTTGATCTTTAAAATAATAAGTCATAAAAAAACATAAAAACCTTACAAACAAAAAGCCCATATGATAATAACCTAAATCAAAAAATCAAAAATAAATGATGGCTGCGTGGTTTGAACCCACGATCTTGCATGCTTAATTAGACACCTTATACCACTTGGCTAAAGTGTATTTCATTGTTTGTAATCATCTTACCAAGACTATAAGTTTTTAAAAAATACTTATGGGACCCACAAAACTGCTGACGTGGCGCGTTGTGGAGCCTAGAAAGTGTACTATTATAATATAGATTTGTATATATCGTCTAATACTAACATTAGAAGAAGAAGAAGAAGTAGTAGAAGATAAAAATATTACAAATATTGATTTCCCCAATTTAAAAGTAACTAGATTTTGACCCGCGCTTGAAAGCGCGGAATCTTTTTGTTGATTAAAGATTTATATAATTGAGTTTTGTCTTAATTTAAATAATTTTTTGGTATAAAATCAATTCACCAAAGTTTGTGGTGATGATTGTTTTTCATTAGTTTTTAGTTTCATTTTTTAATTTCAGATTTTGTTTTAAAATTTTGGTTTTTAGTTTTAAGTTTATATTTTTGACTTTCAGGTTTTGGTTTGAGTTTTTTAATTTTTAGACCCGTTGAGTTAGTTTGAATTGATATTACCAACAAACAAATCTCAAATAATCAAACATCTAATTTAAATCTGAAAATATCTCAAATTTTTTTTAAAAAAATTTGCAATAGTTTATTTTGTAAATAAACAAAATCAAAACATATAACCTGCGTTTTCAGCTTTTGGATTGGATTTTAGTTTTTAGAGTTAGTTTTTGGTTTTGCTTTACATATATTTTTTAAATCTATAAATTATTTAAGAAAAATAAAACAATAAATTATTTAAAATTTACCATTGAAATTTATCAAAAAAGTGATTGTTATTTAAAATAAAAAATACATTAACATGTTTTAATGTACATGATTTAAATAAATGATTAGTAATAGATAATTTTTTTTTGTTAAAAATATTAAACTTTGGGCCTGAAAATAATAATTGATTTTTTAATCTAGTAAGGTGGAAATTTTATTCAATGTTTTTTGGAATTTTTCTTAATACTAAGCCCAAAAACCAAACCATATCATTTGTTTTTAAAACAAAAGAAAGCGCAAGAGTATATCCCATAAATAACCACCGATTTAATTTAAGTAATACGGTTCACTTAACTATATGTTTTGTATTATTTGTAACACTCTAGAAAGGGTCCAAAGTTAAATGACAACTTGTATCAGTAGACAAAAAGAATGACTCTATTTTAATAGAGTAGATTAATTGGTAACTTTTTTGAAAAGAAAATTGCAATTTTTTTATCTGTAAATATTTTGAAATAAATATCAAATAACTATTAAAATTAAGGGAAATTCTCCAAAATAACACATTTTTTTAATTTTCATCTCAAAAATAGCATTTCAAATTGAAAATCACAAAAAATGACATTTTTAATATGATAAAAGATTTTGATACCTCTACATATCAATAAAAAACGAATCCTAAACTCTAAAACCTCAATTCTCTTACTATCAATTCTAAACATTATTATCAACACTAAACCCTAACCCTAAAAATACTAACTCTGTACACCTTCAACCCTAAACATCAATCATAAACCCTAAACCTTTCTAAATCCTAAACCATCAACAATGAATTCTAAACCCTAAAAAATCTCAATCTTTAACACTAAAAAATTACCTTAGATCCTAAACTTCAATTCTAAACCCTAAATCCTCAATTCTAAATTTTCCTATCACCACTAAACCCTAAACCATAGAAATTAACTCTAAGCCCTAAAT